TCTGTAATCCCAGCACTTTGGGAGGCTGAGACGGGTGGATCACCTGAAGTCAGGAATTTGAGACCAGCCTGGCCAACATGGCAAAACCCTGTCTCTACTTAAAAAAAAAAAAAAAAAAAAAAAAAAAATAGTTGGCTGTGGTGGCACATGCCTGTAATCCCAGCTACTTGGGAGGCTGAGGCAGGAGAATCACTTGAACCCAGGAGGTGGAGGAGGTTGCAATGAGCTAAGATCATGCCACTTCACGCCAGCCTGGGCAGCAGAGTGAGACTGTCTCAAAAAAAAAACAAACAGTGAGATGCAGAAGTGTTGTGTGTGTTTTTTTTAAGGCCTTACGTGTTGTGTGAGGATTTGATGCTTAGAGTCTCTGTAGCCATCTAGCTTCTCTGGAAAAACAAGACCAAAGACAAAGTCAACACAATTGTCGTGACAAAGTAGAAAAATGGAAAACGGAGTCTCGGTATGGTTGCCCAGGTTGGCCTCAAGGGATCCTCCTGCCTCAGCCTCCTGAGTAGCTCAGACTACAGGTACGTACCACTGCTCTTGTGCTTTTGGATTCCTTGACGTTTCTGAGATGCTAAAATGACTACTCTGGAAGCTCTCTCTCTTGTGTCTTACTGTTACATAATATACAAACTTTCCTTATCATTGAAGCCATTTTTACTTGTGTTTTCTGTCACTTGTAGTCAAAAGTATGCAAAGTAATAACTCTGTGTCCCTGTCACTCCATGTATACTCCTGAGATCCTAGAAGCATGTGAGCTATTTTTTCAATGACGTTCACTCTATGATTTGAAGGAGTAGGCAACACTGGACTTGGGTTCAAGGGCAATTTATTACTTGTGTTTTAGGCAAGTCATGATCACTTGGCCTCATGTTGATCATCTATAAAATGATGGTAATTATGTAATTACAGAGTAGTTGTAAAAAACAAATAAGTGAAGACATTTTGTATACAAATATAAGTTCTTTGTTATCACTAGATGTTTTTGAAAAATGAATTTAGAGTCTCCAAGTTTGCTATAATGCCTAAATTTTAACATTCAGTGTTTTAACTGTTGTGTCTTACAATGACATTATTGAAATGATGTACAAGGAACAGTTGGGAGAGAAATGAGGCTGAATGGGATTTTCACTGGCTCCCTTGAGGCTCAGTGGAAAAAGTCATCATGATTGTCAGTGTTTTCCACAGAACAGGAGGTAGTGGTACCTGGGCCACTTATATTCTTATGCTATTTTGACACATTTTCATCAATTTAGTGCTTGCTAATTAGTTATGACCAAGTTGGGTAGTTGTATATAAGCTGTACATCCTGTAAGTACCTAAAAAGTGTAGCCAACATGTTTTTAGCTACAGATTTGGAGATTTTAAATATAAACTTCAAATATTTTGTTCTTGATGTGATTTTCAAGTGTAAAAGCTGGTCAGTAATTTACATTAAGTAGTCTTTCTTGAGTTTTGGGTAACACCTATCTCAAAACTCAAAAATAAAACCAAAAAACCTCACCAGCAGAAACTTTGTAAACATAGTTTTTATTCTTGTCTTACCGTCATTGAAAAAGTCCTGCCACCAAAACATTTTTGAAACTCAGTAACTGAACACCAAACTCATTAGCCTGATGATTACTTTTCTAGACAATTGCTGAATTATATTGCTTTTAAAAAAATAGCTAAGATATATTTTTACTATTTATTCCTTTAAGCAGCAATATTCCCTCACATTTTTTTTCATAAAAATCTAAAATATCTCTAGTAGTCCCAAGTGTCTTATATTTGTTCTAAGCATTTGTTTCACTAAGATTTTCCAGAAATAAGTGCACTTCTAAAGAGAAAATAAATTTAAATAAAATAATCATGGTTGTAGCAAAAGTTATTTTAAGTGTTTTGAATTTTAACAATTCAAAGAGAGAATGTGTTTGGTAGCCAGGGTCTTCTACAAACTAAAATCTCAATTCATTTATTTGTAGATCATTAAAAGACAGCTGCTGCTCCTGTCAGTAAAGAACTAATTGTCTAAGGTTTTCTACAATAAAACACCAAAAAGAAAAAGTACTTAAAAATATTTAAAATTTAGAGATTTACACAAAGCTCTGCAGCTGTTCAAAAAACAAATATAGAAATAAATGAAACCCCCGTCTTAGGCCTTACCAAACAAAGAACATTTTCAATACCCCATACTTATTTTCCATTCACTAGCTTATTAAATCAGCTATACACTCTATTCAGAAGTGGCTGGTTTATAAGCAATTCCTTATTTTCAGATAGCACAATGCTTCAATACATTTAAAGATTTAAAGCTATGTTAGTAATAAATGCATAAAAGAAAAATAACATAACTTGCTTTAATACAAAGGTTTTTAATAAAAAAGTCAAAGTCTACATTAAATCAGGAAATTGATAAATCTGAATTATACAAGCTTTCTATATACTTAGAAAAACCAAAAACACAGTTTTTAATAAAACTCTTTTAATTCAAAATAGAGTCTAATTTAAAGAAAATGTCACTATGCCCAGTTGATTAGATAGGGTTTTATCATTTAAATTAAATTATTCACCTGAAATATGGGAAATGTATAGTAGAGAAAATTCAATCTCAAGGGTACTTTGCAAATTATCTGGTTAATTTGCATCATGAATCAAATTCTTAGCTTCCAAAGGGCAGACACAGTCTTTAATTGCTTTTAGGTAGGCACTTAAGAAATGCTTTTGATGAGGAGAAAACCTCAAAGATTGTGAATCACTCTAATAACTCCAGGGAAGAATAAGACTCTCAACAAAGTAGCTTTCCAGAACTATCCTTCCAGTGCCAATTTGCAAGCTCTTTCTGGTAATAAGAATGAGGGAACTCAAAACAAAAAAATGCTCTATTCTTATGCATTTAAAAAGTAAACTTAGGTAAATTAGTTTCTTTTTATCAATCTCTGTCAATTTGAATTAATGGCATTTTTCAATACCATTTCAAGAATAGTTAACCATGCTAGAACTAGAGAATGTTGCAATTACCTCATATCTTACCTATTCATTATCACACTAGCAAAACAGTCCTTTAAAAAAAAATAATAAAGTGGGGGAGCAATGTGGGGTGAGGAAATCTCATAAACTTCAGCAAAAGTTAATATTATTTTAATTAAAGGCAGTTATAATTAGAAAAATTAGAATTGGTCAAATTGAGGTATCTCCAGGGTTTTTAATAGCTCTCTCCTAAATACTCAAAAAATTCCGACTAGAAAAATGGAAATGAACTGTTAGATAAACACATAAGTACTCAACAAATATTTTTAAAAGAAACAAACCAAAATAGGGAAGTGGGAGGAAACAGGATGGCCTTATGAAAACACTGTGGAGCTACCTAGCAGCAACATTTATAAAAGTTTTTGTAGGCCGGGCGCGGTGGCTCACGCCTATAATCCCAGCACTTTGGGAGGCCGAGGCGAGTGGATCACAAGGTCAAGAGATCGAGACCATCCTGGTCAACATGGTAAAACCCCGTCTCTACTAAACATACAAAAAATTAGCCCAGCACAGTGGCGCGCGCCTGTAGTCCCAGCTACTCGGGAGGCTGAGGCAGGAGAACTGCTTGAACCCAGGAGGCGGAGGTTGCGGTGAGCCGAGATCGCGCCATTGCACTCCAGCCTGGGTAACAAGAGCGAAACTCCGTCTCAAAAAAAAAAAAAAAAAAAAAAGTTTTTGCAGATTTGCACAATGCTCATATGCAACTCTTCCCCATTAGGAAGACATTCTTGCAAACAAATCATCACTTTAGATTTTGATCATAGATCATTTATAATGGTTATCATTGTTGTATGTTCTAAAAATTCCATCCATTAACAGTTAAGACAAACATTAGGCCATTCTTTGCTAGCATATTATTCCTCAACTAGTACTAATGAAACCAAAACCTCAGAGTTGTTTGAATTAGAATTAAAATATTAAGCTAGAAAAGATTATTTAATTCTTAGGGTGATACCCAAAGAATTTGATGCTGACATTATCTTCCCTGTCCTCTCATCACAACCCCCTGGCCTGTATTTAATTCCTTAATTCCATCTATATTCACCACAGTGATATAGCTAAACATGAACAATATTGCCCTTGATTAAACCGACCTCTATCAAAGATCTGTCAGGTCTGAATACAGCATTCCCACAGGAAAGGAAAATTCTACTAGTTGTGAGCATCCACTGTTGAAGATCTTTGGTACATTTGGAGCATACGAAAATAATGGCACAATAATACAAGTACTATCAAAGGAAACATTTTCATCAAAAGAAATGTTAACTAGCCATGATATGTAACAACTTTCTAGAAAACCAAAGTAAATAGCTTTTTGTTCTCTACAAGTCCATTTACATAATAGAAGTTTGACATTTAAAAAAATAGTTTAATAAAAATACACCAATTCTACAAGCAGCCTTCATGGTCATTTCTTAAATTCAACTCACCATAATCAAATTAAAATAATGCCATGTCCTCTTGTTAAAAAAGAAGTCCTCTTGTCACAAGAAAATCAACTTTACATGTTATATAATACAGTACGTCTCCCTAAGAGTATACAGACTACGTATATAAAGGTCATCAGTATTTCTGAATGCAACATAAATATATTAGTGGAGTGCTTGAGTGAAAGTGTTAAACTTTCTCTTTCTTGTTATAAACTTGTCACTCCCTACTGTGGAGTTTGTGTAATAACTTGATGATAAATTCTATTTTTTAGAGAACCAGTGAATTTCTTTTTAAATTTCCATTACAGAAAATGTCTTCATATATATTCTACAGATGTCCAAACCAATAGGGCAATGTTCTAACACCAACTATGGAAGATGGCTTTTACTGATTATCTAGACCCATAGAATTGCAGTAAAACATCAATACTGCAGTGTTACCTACAGGTTAACCTATGTTGCTTTAAATGATATGTTTCTCCTGAATTGATTAGAGGTGTTACAGTTCAAAGCCACAGCACACACAGGCAGAATGGACCTTAATACGCATGTAGGCAGTGCAGTTAGAAAGGGATGTCTGTTCCTTTTATTCCAGTACCTTCGTATAATAAAGTTAACAAAAACAATAAAATATTTTTAAAAAAAAGAGCCAGCTGGCACTGCCAACCAATTCCTATAGTAGTCTTAGAAATCCTAATCCTGTAGAATTTCCTCTTGTAGTCAATAAGCACCACCATCTTCAGGAGTATTTCAGTGTATTGTTATCTACGCCAAGCAAGCCTGGTGATGCAGCTACCTGAGTTCTCTTGGTTATGGGCGAATGTTATCTTCATTCATAATTTCCCAGCTTTCATGTAGGTGGGGATAGAGCCACGTTGAGTCAACCCTTCAAACCTTTTATAGGTATAATTGAGAAAAACCCAGTCTTTGGATTTGTAGTCCGGTTCTGTGGTATTTGGCACTAGAAAGAGAAAAATTAAAGGAATTTCATTAGTGAAATGCTGTCATCTTCAAAGACTTTTAATAGTGTTAGTTACATTATAGATTGTCTTACCTGGTTGTAAAATATCAGATTCAGGGAAGTCATCAAAATTTGAAGTATCATCAATGCTTTTGATTTCTATAGGGATTGCTGCTGGCCTTTCCCTGTAAAAAGGTATTGAGTAGGCATGGTAACTTTTCTGAAACTCTCAATCTCCAACTAATAATTCTACTTGTAAATTCTGTATACTATTCTATAGATATTAGAAAAGTCAAGGAAATTTATTGTGGATTTGAGAACAGTAAAAGGGAGTTCAAAATAGTTGAGTATAATTTTTTATTAAAATGTTTTCATTCACTTGGAATTTTAAAAAATTTTTTGTTTTTAATTTTTATAATTATGTTATAGGTATATATATTTATAGGGATCATGAGAGAGTTTGATACTGACATGAAATCGGCAATAAGTACATCGTGGAGAATGGGGTATGCATCCATTCATGCCTTTATCCTTTGAGTTACAAACAATCGAATTACATTCTAAGTTATTTTAAAATGTACAATTTTCTCTTTCATACTTTAAGTCCTTGCTAAGAAAAAAATGAAAAAAAAAAAAAGTACAATTAAGTTATTATTGACTATAGTCACCCTCTTGTGCTGTCAAATAGTAGGTCTTATTCATTCCTTTTTTTACCCATTAAGCATCCCCACCTACTTGCCATTTTATACTTCTGTACCAAGACTTTTTCATACTATTTTTAAAAAGTGAGCTAATGAAAAGTAAAAGAGGTTTTATTTAAAAGATTGTACAATTGTATAAAGTATGTGAGATATTATAAGGACTGACTGATCCTTCTTAATTGATTTAGGAACAGAATTTAGTAACAATCTATAAATTAAAAATCATTTGGGGAAATGAGGGGCACACAGGTGAAGGGACTATTTGTGATGAAATCTGAATACAAAAACTTCTGTCACAAATTTTAAGAGAATCAAAGATAGTGAAAAAGAAACCAGTCCTGCAATCCCAGCACTTTGGGAGGCTGAGGCGGGCAGATCAGGAAGTCAGGAGTTTGAGACCAGCCTGACTAACATGGTGAAACCCCGTTTCTACTAAAAATACAAAAAATTAGCCAGGCATGGTGGCACGTGCCTGTAATCCCAGTTACTTGGGAGGCGGAGGCAGGAGAATCGCTTGAACTAAGGGAGGCAGAGGTTGCAGTGAGCCGAGATCGTGCCACTGCACTCTAGCCTGGGCAACTGAGCGAGACTAAAAAAGAAACCAGTCATGAAAATGCCTTCTTATCATGCTAAAAAGTTTATAGAGATAGTTAAAAGAAGCTATCAGTTTTTATTACTTCTGTTTTTTCAACAAATATTTATTGGATTTATTAGGTGGTAAGTTTACCAAATTATATAAAAACATATATATTTTTTACCAGAATTATTCCAACCCATTTATACTTAATATACTAATTTAATAAACCTAGTTTAGTGGAAAGAACCCTGGAGCACTGAGATCTAACCTTTCTGTTATTAACTAGCAGTATGACATTGGCAGGCAAGTCCCTGTGCCATGACTATTCCCTCATTATAAAACCAGGAGAACTGGCAGTCTCTGAGCATCCTTCCCACTGTAAAAGGGGGGATATCATAGTTCTTTCTATTCAATTAAGTTGTGTGTGTATAGTATTATACAGCATAATGATTAAGAGTTAGGTCTTCCACTAACTCTTAAATCATTACGCTGCCTAGATCCAATCTAACTGCCTGAGTCCAACTCTAGCTTTTTCATTTACTAGCTGCCCATTATAGGCACATTACTTAACTTTTCTATGCCTTAGTTTCCTCACTTGTAAAACACAGATAATAACATTTCTTACTTTATAAAGCTTATATGAGGATAAGATGAGAAATACAAGTAAAGTAATTAGAACAGTACTGGATACACAATAAATGATTTTTTAAAACTAGCTATTATAATAGGCAGAGTGAGCTGGGCACCTGTAATCCCAGCACTTTGGGAGGCCAAGGTGGGCAGATCACAAGGTCAAGAGATTGAGACCATCCTGGCCAAGATGGTGAAACCCCATCTCTACTAAAAATACAAAAATTAGCTGGGCGTGGTGGTGTGCGCCTGTGGTCCCAGCTACTCGGGAGGCTGAGGCAGGAGAATTGCTTGAACCTGGGAGGCAGAGGTTGCAGTGATCCAAGATCAGGCCACTGCACTCCAGCCTGGTGCCTGGCGACAGAGCAAGACTCTGTCTCAAAAAAGAAAAAAAAAAAAAAGACCAGCCTGGGCAACATGGTAAAACCCTATCTCTACCCCCCCCGCCAAAAAAAAAAAAAAAACACGACAAAATTAGCTGGGCATGGTAGCAATGCCTGTAATTTCAGCGACTTATGGGGCTGGGGTGGGAGGATCACTTGAGGCTGGGAGGTCGATGCTTCAATAAGCCACGATCATGCCACAGCACTCCAGCCTGGGTGATAGTGTCAGACCCTGTCTCAAAATAATAATAATAATAATAATAATAATAATAATAATAGGCAGAGTCCCTAGCACCCAGCAGGTTCTCCAGTGAAGATCTGTACCAAGGAAATGACACATAAGCTGTCTTAGAAGATACAAAAGAGCCAGCTAGGCAGGGTAGGGGTAAAGGTAGTGGGGAGAGGGCATTTCAGTCAGAATGACTAGCAAATGGCCAAACTTAGAGGTGGGAAGAGGAGTAGTAAAGGCCATTGAGATGCAACTTATGCAGATGAGGCAAGCGCTATACCCTGAAGTCCTAAGAAAGCAGTGAAGGCTTCTTCACTGTATCCCAAGTACGAAGGGAAGCAGGAAAGTGGCGTGGCCTGATTTATGCTTCTAAACTGTTGCTGTGTGGAGAACAGATTAGAACTACTGCAGGTAGTTTGGCCATAAACTGAAAGGACAATGCTCACAATTAACAACTGTAAGCAAATTCTTAAAAGTTACTTGTATTATTTAATGCCCCCCAACTAATGTTTAAAGAACATTATTGTAAATTAATTAAGGAGACACTGTGGTATATTACAGCAAGGACAAAAACGAGAGGTCACAGTGTGAAATGTAAATACATCTTTCATATGTTAACAGCCTTCACTGTGTGAGTACGAATATAAGAATTTAAACAGCTGCCCAATGTCCTTCGCTGAAAGTGGATGTTAGCCTAAAATAAGTCACTAAGTCACTTAGCTATAGTCACAACAGTCCCACTCACTTACATAATCCAGACAATACTGGACTTAATGACATTATATGTTACTTTTGTATTTAACTAGCAGAATCAGAAGGAAGTTAATTGCTAACTCTAGAATTTCGTTTTTACTCAGACTTCTCCCATTCAAAGCCTAGGAACATACCTTATGTGCTCCCAGTCCACACCTTCAAAAAATGGATGACCTTTGATTTCTTCTACTCCACTATTTCCAATTCTATTTTCAGAATCAATACAAAATCTACAACATGGAAACAGAGAAATTATCATACACAAGTTACATCTAAAGTATTCTAGCTGGATTACTTCAAATTTTTTTTACAGCAGTATGATATTTTTCTTTTTATTGATGTTAACTATGTTTATTGTAGGAAATGTGAAAGAAAATAAAAATAATCTGTAATAGCATTACTTAGAGATAACAACTAAATATTCTAATCTTCTAATCTTTTATAGTATTAAAAATACTGTGTTGATACTATAGTTACTATGTTAGGTCTGCTTTTTTTTACTTGATATACTGAGAAAATTTGGCAAGTCACTAAATATTTTTCTATAAATTTGTTTCCTAAAACTTACATATGGAAATACTATAGCCAGTCTACTATTGAGCCAGTCCAATATTGTTGAACATTTAAATAGTTTTCAATATTAAATACCATGATAAACATATTGCACCTAAATCTTTACATGTATCTGACTATCTGCATAAATAAAATTCCTAGAAATGGAACTTCTGGATCAAAGGTCATATATAGTTTAGGGATTTTTAAAAATAATATGCTGCCAACTGGCTATTCCCACAAGTTGCCCCAATTTATAGTCCTTCCAGCCATTCAGTACCAAAAAACTTCATATTAGTTGAGGAACAGTACCAAAACACTTCATATTAGTTGAGGCACACATGGAAATTTTTGCTTAGAAGATTTCACGTATATACTTTTCATGACAGGAATCTGCTACTAACATTTTCCCTTTTCTCTTTAATGGAATCAGGTCATTGCATTCTAACAGAAGTGACCTTTTGGTTTTACATATATCAGTAACTGAAGCAATACAAGACCTCCTCCCTCTTCTTAATTCCTACATTTTTTTCTGCATACTTCCTTTTAAGAGTTTACATTTTTAAAAACACCTTTATTGATCTCTTTGTATACATCAGTGGTATCCGCTCTTCCCAACAAAAGTGAAATGAGTTGTTTAGGTACTTAGGAAATTTTGAAGACACTATGAACTCCTCTGGGAATTTAACCACTAACCTGAGAATTAAGTCCTTGGCTTTCTCAGATATAGGTACCTCTGGAGGAAATACCAGAGTTTCTTTCCAGTTCATCACTTTTCTGTACGTTTCTTGAGGTGTTTCAGAGCAGAAAGGTGGATATCCTATGTATCAAAGAAATCAAAAATGTTTCATCAGCTTTGTGATTAGTGAAGTTATACCTACCAAACATGTGCTATAAGAAACCAAACTGAGTGCTCTATTTAACAGTCAAAAATGCCACCATTCATCAATTTACAATAAAATTGCTAATAAAGTCAATAAAATAAAAGATTTAAAGCACTGCCTCCCCTTTTACATGAAAAGCTATGCAGGTTAACAATTTTTATACATGGGAGTTTGGGTTAAATACTTGCCTTCCTGAAACAGGATCCCTGGAGAGCTCACTGGTATTGATCAGTATGCATTTAACATTGGGGGGACATCAGAATTAAGTTTAAAAAACTTCAAATATTTTAGTCAATGATATCTGTAATATGTTCAAACAATGGTACTCAAGGAAATTTTTTGTACATAAATGAATGATAAAACATACCTATTAGCATTTCATACATAATCACTCCCAAAGACCACCAGTCACACAATTTGTTGTAACCAGTCTGCATGAATACTTCTGGAGCAATGTAATCTGGTGTCCCAACTGTGGAATATGCCTACAAAGGAGCAGCTTGTCAAACCAGCATTCTTAACATTTAAAAAATATATATCTGAGGATGGCTTACTACTGGAAAAAGCAATATATAGAGGTGTTAAATTTTCATTTATGTTTATTTCACATGTTTATCATGTGCAAGGCTTAGTGGTAGGTAGTGAGTCAGATAATACGTTATAGACTATTATTTTTCAGTCTATTTACTTTCCTGAGGGAATGCTGAATTAGTTTTCTTTTCATCACTTGGTTGAACAAGTATTTATAGGGTGTCCATATGTGCCAGGCATTTTATAACAATATATCATTTCTGCCGTCCCCCAAGAAGCTCAATTAAGTTATTTATATACATATATAGCCTTCAGTCTATTTCAAATAGAATGAAAAAGTTCAACCTAGAAGACCTGGCTTCCCCACTCACTACTAATGTGTTCTTTGGCAAATTACTCAGTTTCTCTGAGGCTCAGCTTCTGCCTACATAAAATTGGAATAATAATACCTGCCCTAATAGAGTTGATGTGAAGATGAAACAATAAAAGGCATGTGCTTTGTAAACTACAAACTACAAAAATAAGCAGAGGTATTTTCATTAGAAATGTAATTCCAGGGTACTGCTTATCTATTAGGAAGCTATGCAGTTTTGAATTCTTAATTTATATAAAATCTTACAAAAATTATTTCTACAAGGCAGTAATTCTCAACTAGGGGTAGTACTCTTGGGGCAATGGTAAATGTATGGCTGCAGAGTTTGTCATCTCAATGACAAGACTGGCATTTAGAGGGCAGGGGATCCAGGCGCTAAAAACATTTCCTGTCCCAAACACTGAGTCCTCTCTACTTCTCCCTTGGGAAACACTTGATCCAAGGCTTGGTGACTGTTGGCCATGAGAATAAAAAAACACACACTTGAGTAATATTGTGTAAATAGGGGGGTACAGAATTCCCCTACCATATTTTTAAGCAGCATTCAGTTTTTCTCTTTAAAAACAGGGAATAAATATAGGAAATACTGCAATTATTCTCAATTGCAAAATCTGATCTAAAATTGGCACATTTTAAAAGTAGAATAAAGGTTTTCTCCTTAATGCATAACTCACTATCATTTAAAAATACAGAAATGTTTTTACAAGCATAGGAAGTTTGCGATTACTTAGGTTAATGAGATAATAAACTCAACAATGCAAAGGTCATTTTATTTGGTTTTAGAGGGTATTAGACTATTATTTTTCAGTCTATTTACTTTCCTGAGGGAATGCTGAATTAGTTTTCCTTTTATCACTTGGTTGAACAAATATTTATAGAGTGTCCATATGTGCCAGGCATTTTATATGAAATTAGGAAAACAAAATCCAAAGGCACTTTCTTAACCTGCAGAATGTTCATGGACCTATTAACAGGACAAAGGGAAAGAGGAAAAATGGGAAGCAATTCTATTTGCTCAGTTATAGAGGTAAATAGTATGGGGTTAAAAATAATGTAATTCTATATTAAAGGAGTAATGAAGTTTATTTGTGGCAAAGCCAGCTTTTTCTAATTTTATCTGTTTTATTGTAACACTGTTTACATCCCAAACTTCTTACTTTATTTATAAAGAAGTTCTTAGCAACAACCACCTTACTTGCTGATTGATATTTGTTGTATTAGGATTTGTAACACAGATATGAAAAATAGAAATCACAAGGCATTCAATACAATCGCATTCAACTCAGTGAGTTTTATTTAAAGTGCTCATTTCTATAAACAGCTTACTCATAGGTATGCTCAGTAAAGTACTGTAAAGTTATAAAGTAAAAACCAACATTTTGCTTTACAGGCAAGGCAACTTAACAGAGAAACTAAGAAAACTGTGTGATTCCAGAAAAAGAGCTATCATTGTTAGGCAGTAAATAGTAATCATTATAAAGATACAAATAATGAAGTTAAAAATCAGGTAAGATTTTAGAACCAAGGCACAAAATTCTTTCTTAAAAACATGGTTGACTCACCAGTTGTCTCCTGTTCTTCTTCCAGGTTTCTGCTTTCCTCTTTGAGTTCATGTTCTGAAATGCTAATTTCAACAAAAACAAAATCACACATTTATATCTAAAAAACAGTGGATTAAGGAGTGGGGAAAGGGAAAGAACTTTCAGTTCTCTACAGTACTGAATTAAACCAGCTACAATATCTTAACCAGAAAAAAAAATGAACTTACAGAAGTCACTTGGTGGGTTGTGTGTGAGATTTCTATAAAATTCTGTCCGGTGAGCCTTCTTTAATCCAGTGCATAAACCAAAATCAGATAGTTTTACATGACCCTAAAAAAATCCAGTAAAATCAGATTATATTAACTTTGAAAACAAAAGGCCTTATTATAAACTCCTCTGTTAAATGCCAATTATAATAAATACTGTTAGCTTGGGATTTATACAAGTAAAATGTAAAATTGTAAATATCTGATGATGATTTTTAAATGTAGAAAATGGAGGGAGACAGAGAGCCATATTCCCTGTTATCATTTCATTCCCAAGTCCTCTCCTAGTACTTTATTATATAAAATAATGTTTAGCAATCATCTAAATTGCAGTTGTGGATTTCCAATCACAAAATCAGCTCTACTGCTCTAAAAATTAATCAACAGCCTAGTAATTCACCCGTTTATTCACATGCCTTGGCATCCAATAAAAGGTTGTCTGGCTTAATATCCCGATGGATGAAACCCAACTGGTGGATCGCATCTATTGCCAGAACAGTCTCTGAAATGTAGAACTGTGTTTCCTCTTCTGTTAAGGTATCTTTCTTCATTAGCAATGTCATCATGTCACCTAAATAAAGGAAAGTTAAATATATTATTATTGAAAACACCTGAAAGGTGGAATACCTTGTAAAAGCTTTCCTGAAAAAAAAAAAATTTTTTTTTTTTTTTGAGACAGAGTCTCACTCTGTTGCCCAGGCTGGAATGCAGTGGTGTGATCATGGCTCACATCAACCTCCGCCTCCTGGGTTCAAACAATTATCGTGCCTCACCCACCCAAGTAGCTGGGATTACAAGTGTGCACCACCACACCCAGCTAATTTTTGCATTTTTAGTAGAGACAGGGTTTTGCCATGTTGGCCAGGCTGGTCTCGAACTCCTGGTTCCAAGTTATCTGCCTGCCTCAGCCTCCCAAGTTGCTGGGATTATAGGCATTTGGGGAGGCTGAGGCAGCCTAGCTAGCTTTCCTGTTTTCATTTTATGATCTACCCAGTATATTTCTAACCATATTTTGGGCCACATAAAAGTGCCATTGCATAAACACAAGTTTCATGACATTCAATGGTTTTAAGGCAGAGACTATATGAAATCAAATCACAACAGAGCTGATAATGAAGTAATATCTACCACTCAATTTCTAGAATTAACTGCTGAGGAAAATGTCAAACTGCAAAAAAAAAAAAAAAAAAAAAAAAAAAAAAAAATCAGAATAAGTACACCTGGAAATCAAATATATTCTTCTTTTAGAGTTTAGTGAGACATTATTGCACTAAAAAAGGCACCTGTAGACATTCTTTTATTTTCAAGGAATTTAAAAAGTTTTAACAGTTTTATCTGTTGTAAACACTGGTGCACTTACAACACAGAATTGACAACTGATTACAATTTTTAATATGTTTTTTGAGGCTTTAAAAAGAAAAATAGGGGGCCAGGCATGGCGGCTCCTGCCTGTAATCCCAACACTTTGGGAGGCTAAGGTGGGCGGATAACTTGAGGTCAGGAGTTCGAGACTAGCCTGTCAACATGGTGAAACCCCCATGTCTACTAAAAATACAAAAGAGTTAGCTGGGCATGGTGGCTGACACCTGTAATCCCATCTACCCAGGAGGCTGAGGCAGGAGAATTGCTTGAACCCAGGAGGCAGAGGTTGCAGTAAGCCAAGATCACACCACTACACTCCAGCCTTGCCAAAAGAGCAAGACTTCGTCTCAAAAAATAAAAATTAAAAAAAAAAAAAGGTAGAAGAATTGTTTGCCCTTCATTGCCATTCTTTTCCCCTTGCCCTCTTTGCTAAACAATGATTATCATGGATTTGGTGTGTATCCTTCCAGCTTATTTTAAAAATATGTTTTCATATACACATATTTAAAAATAGATTTATAGTCTTTTGCATTTTTGAAAAATTTACATAAATGTTATCAATCTGTACGTGTAATCCCACAGCTTGGTTTATTCACTACACTCTGTTTCTGAGATCTCACTGTCGAACCAGATATAGCTTACGACTTAAGTACTGTAAAATATTTTATCACATAAGTATGACAGATTTGACCATCCATTCTTCTACTGATGGGCACTTATCTTGCATCAATTTTTTACCACTGTGACACATGATGGAGAGAATCTCTAGGGAACACAACTGGTTGTGGAAGTGCTGAATCTTAGGACACATGCATTTTCAGCTTCACTGGATATCTCTAAACTGCTCTTCATAAAAGTTAGAGATAATTTACAAGAGGACCGTTTCCCCCATAGCCTCACCAATACTCAGTACTGTAGATGTTCAGTGATTTTACTAATCTGAGGAGTATGACATGGCATCTAATTTTTGTTTTAATTCACATTTCTCTGAATACTGGTGAAGTTGATCATTTTCCTATATATTTACACACTAGACAGAGTTTCTCTTCTGTACATTGTCTATCATTTGCCCTTCAGTTGTTTTTTTCTTTATTGACGTATTTTTCTTAACTCGTGACTTATGATATAGTTTGGCTATCTACCCCTCCAAATCTTATGTTGAAATGTGTCTCCAGTGTTGGAGGCTGGCCCTAGTGGGGAATGTTTGGGTCATGGGGACAGATCCCTCACGAATGGCTTGGTGCCCTCCCCACAGTAACAAGTGAGTTCTCACTCTATGAGTTCTTATGAGAACTGGTTGATTTAAAAGAGAGCCTGGCATCTGTCTTGCCATGTGACACACCTGCTCCCTCTTCACCTTCTACCATGAGTAAAAGCTTCCTGAGTCCTCACCAGAAGCTGAGCAGATGTTGGTGCCATGCCTGTACAGCCTGCAGAACCATGAGCCAAATAAACCTCTTTTCTTTATAAATTACACAGTCTCAGGTATTTCTTTCTAACAACACAAAATGAAGTAACACAACTTATAACAATCTAATTATGTACAGTGAACCCAGAATGGTAATATTTAAAATGTGCTAACTTTATCATTCCTTCAAAATAATCTGTTTTGTGATCAAAATGAGCATCAGTATGGTAGTAAATATTTTTAAACTGTGACCATGTAAAACTTCAGAGCAAGGAATATAAAAGTAAACTTCATCAATAAACTTATTATTGCATATAAAGATGTGCTTGTATCAGTCTGTCATTGATACCATGTTTGCTTTTACCTCCAGGGAGAAATTCCATGATTAGATAAAGATTCCTCTTATCTTGAAAACTGTAAAACATCTTCACCACCCAGGCACCATCTGCTTCTACCAAAATATCTCTTTCTGCTCGGATATGGGCCACCTAGATGAATATATTTTTGAAAAAAATTACTGTAAACATATCATACGTTTGTCAAGCTCATCTCTTACACTTAACCATCCATAACAGTAATGAAAGAAAGATGGAGTTTCAGAAGATTTGAAACATATATGTTCATATTCTCATCAAATATGGAGAACCTTAAGAAATAGTTTATATTAGTTTATATCTTTAAGTCTGAAAAGGTGAGGTCAACAGGTATATTATGGGAAGCTAAGGCCTCTGAGAGCAAGAATCACTGTCAAAACTTTTTTTTTTTTTTGAGACGGAGTTTCGCTCTTGCTACCCAGGCTGGAGTGCAGTGGCCCAATCTCGGCTCACCGCAACCTCCGCCTCCTGGGTTCAGGCAACTCTCCTGCCTCAGCCTTCTGAGCAGCTGAGATTACAGGGACGCGCCACCATGCCCAGCTAATTTTTTTGTATTTTTAGTAGAGACCGGGTTTCACCAGGATGGTCTCGATCTCTTGACCTAGTGATCCACCCGCCTCGGCCTCCCAAAGTGCTGGGATTACAGGCTTGAGCCACCGCGCCCAGCCTGTCAAAACTTTTTAACCAGAATCTCTACCCAGCCTAGGATCCTGGCTTTGTCATATACATTTATGGCACTGTTGTGACTTTTAAAGTTAAAAGTAGTAAGCAATGCCCTGTAAACTGGTACAGCAAAGCCAAGCTTGGCTAAAAATAGCAAACTATTTTTAACTGTTAAACAAAGATTATGTTTTTTTTTAAAAGAAATAGTAACAATTACAGTAACTTTATATTGTTATTGTTATAATATAAAACCTCTATCATATCTACAAATGGTAGCTACAGCAAATTCATGTAACTTTTGGGGGTTTTGCTACTGATTTCCTGGACACATAATCACTAGAGATACTATTATGTGAAAATGTTACAGACTGGAATATTTTATAAACTGGATAATTTATGGTATAACTGGTCAGTTTGCAGGTGCTTTTCAATTAATATATTCATATACTTTTTCCAAAGGTTAATAATAAGATTTGATTTATGCTTTTGCTATTTTCACTGTGCACTATTATAAACTCCGATCCAAAGCACATGAGAACATAAATTTGTAAACCTTTTCATGATAATAAAATATAATCTACTTAAAATATCTATTTGGAATTACTGCCTAGTGCAGTAAATACTCGGAGATCAAAGTGTTAAGAGCTGAGGAGTAAGAACTTGTTTTCTAGCATGAAAATACTTTATAATTTCTACTGATCTGTTTCATTAAGTGAAAAATGGTACCAAGAGTAACTACCTGCTACCTTTCATTAAGCAATTGTTAAGGTGGTAAGGAAAAGTCCTAAACTTTGTTGTTGCATCTGATGTGTAAGAAAAACAACTACAACATAAACTTGGCTTGATTATTTTTAAATGATTATAAAGCCAAATTACAGGATATGTTTCCAAAACAGGACCCAAATGTTGGAAAGTATGACTTATGTTAATCTGGTACCATAATAGTGGGGAGATTAGTTGCTACTTAATTTTGTGGGGTGGTTTGCATTAAAATGAATGTGATAAAAGTTAAAATTTTGATGTATTAGAATTGAGTAGAAAAAAGGTTTCTAAACAAAATTCAGTGGTAACAAATACAAATTAATTCATACAGAAGGAAAAAGCAATCTCAAAATGCAAAAGCAATAAGACTTTGGGCTACAGTGAAATTTCTGCCCCCCCCCCCACCTCCCCACAGGAAAGAGCAGTGGTCCAGAGGCTCAACTTCCCACAAAATATTCTAGACCAAGGGCTGTCCAGTAAAGATGTAATACAAGGCACGTACGTAATTTTTTAATTTTCTAGAAGCCACATACAGAGTGAAATTATTTTTATTAATGTAGTTTATATAATGCAATATATCCAAACATCATCATTTCAATATGTAATCAATATAAAAATCATTGAAATATTTTATGGTATTATTTTTTTTTGCACCAAGTCTTATTTGCTGGATATCTCAATTTGTGCCCAGTAGGGTGGCTCGTATCTACACTACAGCTTGAACTAATTGCTTCCTTCTGTCCTTCCTATTATACCCTTTGTAGAACTAATACCATTATGGCTGTTAGATTCCTATTGACTATTGCTTGTCTCTGAGGCTATGCATCTTTACCTACATCCTTACTCCCATCATTATCTACAGTTCTCTAATCCAACTCAATATCTCAATCTTCCTTGCTTTCTAAACGTCTTCCCTCTGGAGAATCATAGCTTGTCATCAACAAAATCCCCTATAACCCTGTCTCTGGATGGTTCCTATTACCTTCTTATCCTCTAACTGAAACTAGGGTGAAAGATCACCCACCTATGCTAATGGGTTTCACTTTAAATTCATGACTGCAAAACTCAGTGAGCCTTCAACTGCATTTCCTTAGCAGGTCTGCTTTCCCACACCTAAAAATGACCGCTTCACAACTTCCCTCCTTAAGTCTTCAAAAAGTCATTCCTTCTTTACTCAAAGCTCACCCCCGGAACTGCATTAAGGCACAGGAAACATGGAGAGAGCCCAGAATATTTAAAAAGTTACAGATTTTAGAAATATGTAAAATCAGCAAAATTCTCAGAATAATTTTGATTTGATATGTGATAGGGATTGTGGGTGCTGACAACTGTCCTTTATTTTCACTGTAGTCAGAAAAGGAGGTATTTCAGAAGTTATGGACTGAATGTTCGTGCCTCTTTAAAATTCATAGAGAAAAGCTTTAATCTCCATTGAGGCTGTATTTGGAGATGGGCCCTTAAGGAAGTAATTAAGTTTAAATGAGGTCATGGGGTGGAATTAGTGTCCTTATAAAAAGAGACACCAGAGACTTCTCACTGGAGTGTGTGTCCCAACACACACCAAGGAAAGGCCATGTGAAAACTTATTGAGAAGGGGGCCATCTGCAAGCCAGGCAGAGAAACCTCACCAGAAACCAAAACCTGGCTGAAGCTTCATTTTTGACTTGCAGTCTCCAGAACTATGAGAAACTAAGTTTCTGTTGTTTAAGCTAACCAGCCTGTTGTGTTCTGTTATTGAAGACTATGCAGACTAATAAATAGATTATAAATTTGGAAGAAACCTTGAAATAACTGAGAAACACTAAAACAGGCTATCAAAAAATTAACAGCTTATGTAATAAGATGGGTAAATTGCCTCTTAAAAATTCTAACATAAACCCTCTAACACCCAGTCAGTGGATGCTCCTTTGCATTACATGTGTTAAAGAACTCATACCTGCTCTTTTTCAAGCATATCAGCCTTTCTTAATATCTTCATTGCATAGATGTGGCCTGTATCTTTCTTCTGGACCAACCGCACCTAAAATATAAAAACATGTTATAAATGTTAAACAGTCACTACTATTTGTTCAGGAATCAAAAGTTGCTTCCCTGAAAGAAAGCAGAAATTTGCCAGTGTTGGTATTTCAGGAATTATATGTATTTATTTATATATACACACACACACACACACACACAATTTTAGATGGAGTTTCACTCGTCGCCCAGGCTGGAGTGCAATGGTGCGATCTCAGCTCACTGCAACCTCCACCTCCTGGGTTCAATGGATTCTCCTGCCTCAGCCTCCCAAGTAGCTGGGATTACAGGCACCTGCCACCATGCCCAGCTAATTTTTCCATTTTTAGTAGAGACAGGGTTTCACCATGTTGGCCAGGGTGGTCTCAAACTCCTGACCTCAGACAATCCACCCACCTTGGCCTTCCAAAGTGCTGGGATTACAGGCGTGAGCCACCATACCCAGCCAGGAATTATATTTTAAAATACATTTTAATTATCCTAAGATATAAATTTGCAGCAGTAGTGACTTTTAAAAAGAAGCACACCTCTCCAAAAGCTCCTCTTCCTATAACTTTCAGAGACTCAAAGTCATCCAAGCCAAGTCTGGTCCTTTTGAGCCGTAAGAACTCTGTTTCTTTGCGAGCATGTTGTGATCGACGTAACTTTTTCTATTAAAAAAAGATAATTTAAAAGGATGATTTTATAATCAGGTTGAAGGAACTTATAGCATTAAAAGATGATACACATAAAAATAAATGATAGCACTAATATGTAATATACTATTAGACTAAAACAATTTAAGGAAACTTAAAAATTTCTTTTTTCTTTTCTCTCTGTCCTTATTTTTTAGTGGAGGAGAGTGAACTTTTTAAAATTTCTAACAACCTCCACTCTCGAGGTGGAAAGTTAAATATCTCATTTAACTAGTCCATCATATTTGTGTATATATGTATAACTTATTCTTTATATGGTAACTTTATTCCATAAATAAAAATTAAATGTTAGTAAATTTTAATAGTATTCTGATACTGATTTTATTGTCAGGAAATATGCTTTGTTTCAATTCCCTAATTTCCAAGGTTGCTCTTTCACAACTACGGAGACTTGTGACAATAATGGTAGTATTTCCATAAAGATTTACTTGTGGTAGAATTTACTCTTGGGCAAATTTTAATAAACTGCTTGAGACTTGGCATACAACTTCCTGAAAATATAAAATTGCAAAAACAATTACAAGAAGTCATTAAAATGACTGGGCACGGTGGCTCACACCTGTAATCCCAGCACTTTGGGAGGCCAAGGTGGGTGGATCACCTGAGGTCAGGAGTTCAAGACCAAACTGGCCAACATGGAGAAACCTTGTCTCTACTAAAAATAGAAAAATTAGCCAGGCGTGGTGGCGGGTGCCTGTAATCCCAGCTACTTAGGAGGCTGAGGCAGGAGAATTGCTTGAACCCGGGAGGCGGAAGTTGTGGTGAGCCGAGATCACGCAACTGCACTCCAGCCTAGGTGACAGAGTGAGACTGTCTCAAAAAAAAAAAAAAAAAAATTAAAATATCCAAGTCAGTAATTTCATAACTGATTCTAAAAATACCACAAAAAATAAATGCCATTAATAAGTAACACTGTGAAATACCTGAAGGTTACATTTGGAACAGGCATTTATTTTATTGTTCTAAACTTCATTTTTCCCCCTCACCAATCAAAACTCTGTTTTTTGACACAGCTCCCAGTAGAGGTAAAACTAAGTGGAAAACAAACAATATCAGTGAAAAAAATTTAACTCCTGTTCATCTTCAACTGACTCCTATCAAGCTTTTAGTGGTTCAGTGAGGAGAGAGAGACAAATCGAAATGACAGTAACAGCTTAGAAACACTGCTTCTAAATGCAGCTCATGACACAGCCCCTCCCTACTCCTGTGTATATCTATTTTTAAAAGGGATAGATGAACTATTAATTAGAAATATGTAAACCTGTATTATCAATGCAATGAAATTCTGATACTTCTAACAGTGTTAATCTAAGATAGATAGTTGAAGTCAAGAAACTATGTCTTCAAACAGCTAAATGAAGTTACACACCAAGTCACACCAATGGTGTAAAAATTATTACAGTAATGAAGGATAAAAATCAAGTACACAGGCCGGGCACGGTGGCTCAAGCCTGTAATCCCAGCACTTTGGGAGGCCGAGGCGGGTGGATCACGAAGTCAAGAGATCGAGACCATCCTGGTCAACATGGTGAAACCCCGTCTCTACTAAAAATACTAAAAATTAGCTGGGCATGGTGGCGTGTTCCTGTAATCCCAGCTACTCAGGAGGCTGAGGCAGGAGAATTGCCTGAACCCAGGAGGCGGAGGTTGCGGTGAGCCGAGAGCGCGCCATTGCACTCCAGCCTGGGCAACAAGAGCGAAACTCCGTCTCAAAAAAAAAAAAAAAAAAAAAAATCAAGTACACAAAATAACAGGCTTTGCCTAATGTCTTTTTCCACATCTGATATTGATTATAAACTACAATGATACTGTGGAAAAAGTAAGCAAGCAACAATGAAAGGTAATTTTTTTCAGTAAGAAGTGGGGCAGGTAGGGCACAGTGGCTCATGTCTGTAATCCCAGCATTTTGGGAGGCCGAGGCGGGTGGACCATGAGGTCAGGAGTTTGAGAATGAGCCTGTCCAATATGGCGAAACTCCATCTCTACTAAAAATACAAAAATTAGCTGGGTGTGGTGGCACACACCTGTAGTTCCAGCTACTCAGGTGGCTGAGGCAGGAGGATCGAGAATCACTTGAACCCGGGAGGTGGAGGCTGCAGTGAGCCTAAATGCGCCACTGACTCCAGCCTGGGCAACAGAACAGGACTCCATCTCAAAAAAAAAAGAACTGAGGCAATAAATAGGCTGGCACAGTGGCTCACGCCTGTAATCCCAGCACTTTGGGAGGCTGAAGAGGGTAGATCATGAAGTCAGGAGGTGGAGACTATCCTGGCCAACGTGGTGAAACTCCATTTCCACTAAAAATATAAAAATAGCTGGGTGTGGTAGCGTGCAACTGTATTCAGGAGGCTGAGGCAGGAGAATTGCTTGAACTTGGGAGGCAGAGGTTGCAGTGAGTTGAGATCATGCCACTGCACTCCAGCCTGGGTTACAGAGCAAGACTCCATCTCAAAAAAAAAGTCAGGTGATTCAGGAAATTAAGTAGCTATTATAAAGACATAATAAACATTACTGCATTCACCTAAATACTATCCAGACCTAGTGGCTAGTTTAAAAAGCAGATTTCCCTGATTATGGAATTACAGGGTTTTTTCTCTTTTAAATATGTTTTATGGCGCTAAAACTACATTGATATAATTAAGAAAACAAAAAATGTGACCTAAAGCAATAGGGAAGACTATTTTTTGCTTCTTTTTACATAAATGCGATGACAAATGTCCTTTATTCCACATAGTAGGTGTTCAAAAATATCTTTTGAATAAAAAAATGAATTACTAGAAAAACAAAAGATAGCTCTTTTTTTTTTTTTTTTGAGATGGAGTTTCGCTCTTGTTACCCAGGCTGGAGTGCAATGGCGCGATCTCGGCTCACCGCAACCTCCGCCTCCTGGGCTCAGGCAATTCTCCTGCCTCAGCCTCCTAAGTAGCTGGGATTACAGGCACACGCCACCATGAAGATAGCTCTAAAAAGTAGCTGATAAATTTTAAGACTAATTTTTAAAAGGCCACTTGGTGGCACTATAGCATCATGTCCTTTATGAAAGTAGTGAGGAGGTTTTTTGTTTTTGTTTTTTAATTACATAAATGAATAAGTGTAAGAATTTTGAAGGATATTTTGAGTCTCTCCTTTTAAAGATTATAAAACAGTACAGATGGATATAGTTGCAGAAATCCTACCTAATCTGAATGGAAAAGATGACCTTGCTATACAGTTTCATAAATTGTCTAGTAGTTTGTATAATGCAGCAAGGAAACAATTTATGTGATTTTGGGCACAGCCATTTAATAGCAAAAAGAGAGTCGCAAGTGAATGGAACACATAATTCTATAAAAATAAGCATCACCTATAACATTGTTGTTACATTACTTAAAAAAATATCGATTCCATGATTTTAGTCTTAGAATCAGTGTTGCAGTCCAGAAGTAGCTGAAGAAGCAAATTCATGTTAAAAAGAAAAAGAAAAAAGCTGTTTATATATCTACTCACAACCTGTATAAATTAAGTAGCCTTGCAAGACAAATAGTATTCTTGTGGTAATTGCATCCTTTCCTCTCCAAAGAAGACAACAAAATCTGTGGACAGTGTAACATTTCACGAGTCTATTTTATAGCTTGTACTTGCTTATTTTCGTTTTTCATTAGAGTAAACAATATTCCATGTTGGATGGGATTTTGTTAAGGGAGATGAAACTAGAAAATGATTTTCTTCCTTTCTCCATTCCTTTTTAAATGGGTGCTCCTCAAACCCTCGATCTGTAGGGTGGCCAGTATTTGTGTAAGATAGACAGTGCATACAAACGTTTTCAGATGTAAAAAGGTTCAGCTAGCAACTTCATTTTATTTTTATGAAATTGTTTTATTTTTTATAAAACCCATTCCACAGAAAGATAGCTGTTATGTACTTTATATTAAGGTTGAGAGAGTTTGTCTATTTTATAGAATTTGATATAATCTAGGCTCTAGCACGGGGCCTAATAAACAAACCTACGGATATATTTGATTTGGACTGCAAATTGTTTTTCAAAACAGGTGACTGGTGATTCCGCAAAAAAGTCCAGATTTCCAGCTTCTCTGGAAAAACAGGGCCTTGGTCACAGGGGCCAAAGGTAGCAAACCCCTTGAGATGAGCCTTGGTTCCCTAATTTGTCAGTCTCCAGCACTGATGCCAGTCCCAAGGAGACATGTCCAAGTAGGCTAGGACTGTTCTTTTATTACAGCAATGTGAAAAGTGGTTTGTCTTTGCCAACAGATAAACCAAAGATCAGTATTTAGGAAAATGATAAATCTTTTTTAAAAAGAAAATAGACTAATCTATTTCTTCGTGGAAGCAAAAAGAATCATGTAAGTTGAATATAAAAACAGTATATCTGGATCAAAAGAATATAACCTAAGATGCCACTGTGAAACCAATCTGGCCAGTTTGTCTCACTTATGTCACCTGCTTAGTGCTTGGGTATCTGTTTTTGTAGTCTCTTCCCTACACTTCAAATTAAGATCTTATGTTTAAGATTTCTATATCAAAATAATGATGTACAACATATTAATATGATTATATGGTTATTAATTATAAGAATTTTATATTAATGACATGTAAATAAGATAATTTTAAATGTAAAAACGTTTGAGTCAACTGATTAACAAAGTTATCACCTTTCGTATAAATAACAAAATACTGTATTTGATTTAAACATTACAACTATAAGAAACAGGCACAGTCCTAGGAAAGGTACAGGGAAGATTAGATATTGATTTGATTTCAACTAATCATTCGATGGTCTACTCTTTCATAGAAACTCTTCCCATCACTGAAACCATTATACTTTTTTTTTTTTTTTGAGACAGTCTTACTCTGTCACACAAGCTGGAGTGCAATTGAAGGATCTCAGCTCACTGCAGCCTCCGTCTCCTGAGCTCAAGTGATCCTCCCACCTGAGCCTCCTGAGTAGCTAGGACTACACACACAGGATACCATGCTTAGCTAATTTTTAAAATATAGTAAGATGAGGTCTTACTATATTGTCCAGGCTGATCTCGAATTACTGGGCTCAAGTAATCCTCCCATCTTGGCCTCCCAAAGGGCTGGGATTACAGGTGTGAGCCGCTGCAGTCAGCATGTTAAACTAATTAATCTAGGTTGTGACTCCCTATTGCCTAATACTAAAGTATATACCTTTCTTACTAAACTATTCTAAACCTAGTTTTCCGTGGTGTGCTATCAACTTACCTCACTATTTCCTTTACACCCTTTATAGCTCAAATGTAAATTCATTATTCTGTATATGTATCATTATTTTGTATAAACCTCTTACCTCTAATGTAAATACTACCCATTCTTTAGAATCCAAATCAATTGTTACTTCTTCTATGAAACCTTTTCTGATCCTCTGAATTAGAGGAAAAGTCTTCTGTATATTTTCAAAGTTCACCACAGTCTATCATATGTACATATTTTTACATATACTCACTTTCTCTCTCCTAATCTAAAACTCCTTGAGGGTAAACGCCATTGCTCATTTATTCAAATATTTATTCTAGCTCTCTGCTAGCCAGCTGTGGAGATGTAATGCTCAACAAGACATTATAGTGTCTAGTCTCTGGACTGTATTTTAAGGCTCCCATGGGGACAGGAACAGTAGAATGCAGAAGTACCTTGAGAGGTTAAGGAAGATTTCCCAGTGGAAGTGATGCCTGACGTGAGGCCTAAAGCTTCTTCTTTGCCCAGGCTGGAGTGAAGTGACATGATCACAGCTCATGGCAACCTCGAACTCCCAGGCTCAGGTGATCCTCCTGCCTCAACCCCACCAAGTAGCTAGGACTACAGGCACATGCCACCATGCCACGCTAAAGATTCTTGAAGAATAATGGGAGTTGGGTAGGAGTAAGGAAGAGCTCCAAGCAGCAGAAAGAGCATGTGAAAAGGTCCACAGGCAAGACAGGGAAAATCAAAGAAATTCTTACTGGGCAGCATGGGGGACGGGTGACAAGAGGCAAGGCTAGAGAGAGATAAGCAGCGGACAACTAGTGAATGGTCGTGTATACCAACATTAAAGAGCTTGCCCATATCCCAAGATAAGGGAGCCAGGGAAGGATTATTAAGCAAAAGAGTGACATGATCAAATCTATTTTTAGACTGATTACTCTAGCTGCAGTTTGCAGAAAAACTGGGTGTGGGAAAAGGGGAGACCAGCTAGGGACAGTTATTCTTCAGGTTAAAATATATGGTAGTTCAAACTAGGGTAATAGCACTGGACTAGAGAAGTAGATGGCTTTAAAAGAATATTTATAAAAAAATTCAGAAGAGTTAACAATTAGTTTATTCCTCCTGGAGCCTACCTTTCTCATTCTACACACCTGAAATACAGTAGGTAATGTTCTCTAAATATGTGTTCTTGGAATTTAAAAAACAACAAAACAAACAAAAAAACTGCCACCTTCTAAAGATACCCATAAAAGATCTCCATGACAGCAACAAAGAAGCCCATATTCAAATGGTAAAATCCACATTATTTAGGTTATAAAATACCTGATGTCAAATGAATGAAAAAGTCACTGAGGATGCTTTTGTACAGTAATTATAGGTAATTACATTACCTCTTCATCTGCTAATCCTTCTTCTTCCATGGCCACTTCTAATTTCTTCTGCCTTTTTAAAGGAAAAAATAATTTAAATTTTAAACACATTCCTAACTACTGCTATTTAAGAAATACACATTTATTTATTCAAGTTAACCACTTCAGTTTGCTATGCTAAAAAAAAACTTTCAAGTTGGATCAAGATAATCACTAAGAATAGTTTTCCTTCTCAAAAAACAAACCCAGATTTTGCTTTCTCATACTGGCCAAATTAATAATTTACTTCTAAAGCTTACTTCACTCTCCTGCCTAAATGAACTATTGGCAATAACTGATATTCTAATATAGAAAACACTGCTATCTAATGTTTAATCCACCAAAATCATTAATATTTCTCAATGTTTATATTAGAAATATAAAAAGATGACTATAATGACTAAAAGTATAAAATTTTAAGGTAGATATCCCTGGTTCTAACACTTATTAGCTAAATGATCTTGGCTAAGTCCCTCAATTTTCCTTCATTTATCAAGGAAAAATGTTCAGTGCAATTGTGTGTATTTTATTGTATTAAAATTCTTTGAAAATTGCAAAGTCATACATGTATATTTTTAAAAACCTACTCGCTACCAGAACATCTGCTTTTCTAGGTATAGCCAGGTTCAATTATTCATTTTTTTAAAAATGGCATCCTTGAAGTTAGTTAAGCTAAGCATTTGGGGTGAGGGCAGTGTAGATGAAGTAACAAAAGCTAGAGAGATGGCTGGGAAACACATTTTGCAACTCAAAGTGAATATTAGTATTTTATTTCTATTGTATTAGTTTTCCCTAAACATAAACCTAGCAGAACTCCTCCTAATTAGTTTTGGAGTGTGTCAGAATAACACTAAGTTTCCAGGATTTGGGTATAAGGGTTAAGGATTGAAACCCTCCCACAAATTTTTTGATATTTGTTATTCATGGCTACATGTCCAAAGGTAAGTTTTTTCCTAAACCATCATTAAGATCACTTATTTTTCCTTCTTATGGAAGATTTATAACATTTAAAGCCTGTTGATACATCAGCACCCCACTGGAGAGGATGAGGCCTAAGAGCACATTCTCCACCACATGCTCCCTCAGTGCTTGTCATAGGCACCTACCTTGGTGCTTATTACACTGATTTTTATCTTTTATTTATGCATTATTTCCCCTAGGCCCCAACCCTTAGAAGGGAATATTCTCCTAACATCAAATCTGTGCTGCCATCACCTACCCCTAGGCACTTCAGTGCTGCTTGTTGAATGATTTCCAGTTTTCTCCTCTGCAGAGAGAATCCAGAGAGTAAGAGGACCATTATTCTGGGAGGAGCTATCAACATATAAGCAACTTTATTCTTCTGTTGAATTTCCACTGCCCCTTTCCTCAATTATTGCCAAGACTAACACTTCATGATATAATTCCTCATTCTGGAAGAGATAACAGTAACTTTTATCCATTTCTACCATATCTAAACAGGAAAGATCCATGACTTCTGTTGCGCATTTTTTAAAAAAGTTTTCCAACTAAAATACTCTTATGCTTTGCTCTGATTAGAAATTTATTGAGCATATGCATTTATCCAATTAATTAAGCCTTAAAAATACATCACATGTTTTCTTAAAGCATAAGTGTTTAGAAAATGAGCTAATTGTTTGACTTGACTTCCAGTGGCACCAAGCTGAGACTACTTTCTTTTTCCAATAATGCAGATAATTTTATTCTTATTTTCTTTTATTTGTTAACAAAAAGCAAACTAAATTACTTTTAACACTGCAGCATGTAAAGACAATGAACCTTTTAAATTCTGATGAATTTTTTTAAGTGCCTGCTTTTTCTTCCTTGTCTTCTACTTTATTCACTCTCCCAGGAAGATCTGATCACTTCCAGAGACTTTAATTACCCTTGTCACTCATTTAATTATTGACATATTTAGATTTATTTCTAACTTATTTTGTGATATTTTGGTATTTCATTCATTTTTTCCATTTTTGGTACTTCAGTTTTTCTTTCTCTCTTGCATTATTTTGAACTGACTTTTTTTTTTTCCTCGTTCCAAATTTTTCCTTCTACTAGTCTGGAAGTTACAAACTATTTTTATCACTTTATGGTTACTCTAGAAATTACAACATAATTTGTCAAACTCTGAAGCTAATTTCTATGCCCTTTCTACTAAGGTCATTAAGTTAATTCCAATTAATTCTTTCCTGAATTAGATTCTTCTGTTGGAAAATATTATACTTTAATTTCTTTAATGTGTAAGATATTATCACTATTATTTCTGTTGTTTTATAGAATTTTTGTTGAGATTTATCCACCTGCTTACCATTTACATCTTCTGTTGGTGATCACTTTCCTTCTGCCTAAATGGAACCTTTGGAATTTCTGCTGGTGCTCTTTTTTGTTTATTTGTTTGTTTGCCTCTGCTCCATTTTCATTCCTTTCTTCCCTTTCAGAACCTTTAGAGATAGGTCATCTCTTCTCATGATTCTCCATGTTTCTCAGCTCTCTTTCACATATTCCTATTCTAAGTTGATTTCTGAATAATTACTTATTTTCCAGTTCACTAATTCTCACCATACCTGCATCTAATCTGCTGTCAAACCAGTCCAAAATTAAATTAGACTCGTCGTCCTATTTCATTTAAACTGTACCACTCTCAGTTTGCCCAGGCACGACATTTCAGGGGCAACATTGACTTGTTTCCCTCACATTTCATATTTGGCTAGTAGCCACATTTTGTCAGTCTTTCTTACTTGTCAGTTCTCTGTTGTCATTGTCACAATCTTATTCAGGCCCCCTTTCCATTAACCGGACTACATCACTAGTCCTTTCTGTTTCTAATTCCCCACCCGGACCCCAAACCATTCTCTTTATCACAACTAAAGTTCTCTTCCAGAGAAACACTTGTGATCACTTGATTCTTCTGCTCAAAAACATCCAAGACTCTCCACTACCATGAAAAGAGCTACATTAACAAAGCATCCAAGGCTCCCAGGATGTTGAAATGTGGCACATCCTGTGCTTGACCCAAATTGGACACTGCCTGACCTGGCGATTTCCTCTGTCTCTAATATCCTTCCTCTTGCTCTTTTGCCTCCTTCTCCTCCCTTTTATGCACGTATAAATAATACTTTTCTTTTAGAGTCCAGTTTAAATGCCACCACTATTTATGAAGCTTTCCCAATTGCCTTAGTCAAAAGCACATTCTCTCTCCCTTGTTCTTATTTTAATATTATCTTTACTCTTTCATGTAATATTATAAGTTTTCTTATTATAAGTTTTCTAAAGGCAAAATAACATGTCATTCTTTTTTATTCTTCTATTCCCACTGATGTGCACACAACATTGTAAATGTTTTTTGGATTAGAGTCATTCATAAAGCATTCCCCCCATATTTTTTTTAGATGGAGTCTCACTCTTTTGCCCAGGCTGGAGTGCAGTGGTGTGATCTTGGCTAACTGCAACCTTCAAGTGATTTTCCTGCCTCAGCCTTCTGAATAGCTGGGATTACAGGCATCCACCACCACACCCAGCTAATTTTTTGTATTTTTACTAGAGACAGGGTTTTACCATGTTGGCCAGGCTGGTCTTGAACTCCTGACCTAGGGTGATCTGCCTGCCTCAGCCTCCCAATGTGCTGGGATTACAGGCATGAGCCACCACACCCAGCCAGGCATCCCTTTAAAAGAAAATATACAGACATATAATTTCACATTTGGAAAAGGTTTAAAACATACTTGACATGTGATATAAGTATATGGATGCACAAGACTTGGGGCACCTCAGGAAACTACTCTGTGAAAATAAAACAAGTGTCTATGTGCACTATCAGTACAGGAAACTTAAAAATAGCATGCAGGGACCCATAATATTCATATTATTCATGGAAAACAAGCTTATACTCCACTCACAGCACAACAGCTTAATTAACTAAAAAAAGTTTTCATTCGCCCTTATTATACCTGGTTTCTCTCTCTTCATGCTGTAAAATTAGGTTGCTATAAAAATTCTCCAATGTGAGCTTGGCTACAGTCACTCTTTCCCGGGTATGGTTGCTCATAGGAAAGGTTGTTGTAGTCCCTGCCGTCATTGCCATAGTAACGGAAACTGAAACAACAAAGGAAACAAATTATTCAGTAGGAAAAAAACCTATCTTTTATAACAAACTCTGAAAATGTTTAATTTTAACTAAGAAAAATTCTACCCTAACTGTTAACACATCCAAATATTTCACATTATAAATAATACAAGGCTAGGGGAGAAAGAAAAAGCACTATTTCTAAAGCAAGAGAAATTCATATTGTGATGGCAAAACCACGAGTGAATGACAGCAAAGAAGAACCAGTGGCATCCATATATAATAAAGACACATTTATATACATTGTGTCACATTCAATAAGCATTCAAAACAAGAAAAGTTCCATCTACTTTGTTGTTTCATTACTAAATAAAATCTGTAAGACAGTGTTAATAGTTATATCCCTAATAAATGCCAGTCTAAGAGTTAATGTAGTTAAGTAGCTTCTGCCTTATGAATTCTAAGAAACATGAAATATTTTATCAAATATGCATATGAACACCAATCTAAAGCAATTTTTACATATACTGTATGGGGTAACTACTTTTAGAAGCAGGACTCTTTGGATGGGGCCCATTGCTGCCCCATTTCATTCTGAATTCTGGGTCATTCCAAAAAGTGCTATAACAAGGTATAGTAGACTTCTCCAGACTGTGAAGCCCATTTCATTTTCAAATGAAACTCAAATGCCTATAGGAACCAAGAAGGAAACAGAAATTTATGAATGAAGCCAGGTAACAAGAGGGAAGCTTTGTGGCCTTAATTAGATGATGTATGTCTGCTTAAAGGCATTCCAGTGCCAACTTTTAGAGATTACTGGGCCACCCAAACAAAGTACTGGTTCAAAGAAGATAATCTGGACTATTAGATAAGGAGTGTAGCAAAATGTCTGCTTCAAAGTGGGGAAGACTGAACTCTGGTGGCTGTGGCAGGCAGGCACTGACCCTAAGAGATTTGCCCACCACAGGTACATCTGGAAAAAAAGATTAGAAAAGGTCAAACATTAAAGAGGCTTTGCTCATCTAGATGAAAATCATAATAGACCATTCCAAAGAAGATCCAGCTTGCCAACAGTGACCATTCAAGGCATTCTTGGTTGAAAAGTATTCGCTCAATCCTGCCATCTATGTCCCAACATCCATCTTGCTTTAATTACATGAAGATACAGAGCCCTATATGTAGACCTGAAATGGACTAGATTCCAGGGTTGATGGAAGGAACCAAAAGATGTCAAGCAAATCAAGTATAGGTTGAAAGCAAACAATTATCTATGGCAAACTCCCAGTTCTCTTGTTGTCCTGTTGGGGGTTTATACCTCAATGTACTTCTTGAGCCTCAGAATCATTATGTCTAAAACGGAATCTACTGTTTTGGCATTATAAATCTGTTCCTCTGCTGACTGCTTTAAATGTTTTCATAACGAGAAGCTGATCATGTCACTTGTTTAGAATCATTCACGGCTCCTCATTGCCTACTACAAGCTAAATTAGCTAAACATAATAAATAAGAACAACTCATACACATTGAATGTGTGTAAATATCAGGAACTTTATATTTTACTCACTGATTTCCCCCTTTTTCTCTTCTGAGAATTTACGATAGAGGCACCTGCCATGCATGATTGCATTTCATCCTCACAACAGCCCTGCAAAGTAGGGAAGTGAAGTTTGAACAGTCACATAGGTAGTGTGATGAGGAGTCAGGACTCCAACTTGCTATCTTTATCTGTTGCTTTTTATCTTTTCTATCATTATCTGCTGCTCTTCCTCACCACTCATTCTTTTCCCAACATACCTTGCTCTTTCAGGCCTCCAATCTTTTGCATGACCTATCCCTGACCTATATACCACTCTCTCTGCAGGAATCCTGCTGATCCTTTATGGCCCAGTTTAGCTGAAGTCTTACTGTGGTGACTTCTCTAACATGCTCTACCAGAAGAGGCATCACATTTCTCATCTTTTTGTGCATGTTCTCTAACATAGGTAGTCTGACACTGATGCTTGTCACTTCTAAGAAAAATTCAACCTTAACTCTAACAGTTACTTCACCAAACCAGGAATGCCTCTAGGCAAGAACTCTTTGATTCATTTTTCAAAACTCCCCACAACAGCACCATCTCCGACACAGAGTAGGCATGAATAAATAAATGAATGAATGAGACAACCTATTGATGGGAGAGGGGGTGCTGCTGGAATAGTTGAAAGAATTAGCCAACAGTAAAGTACTCTATAAAGATTGGCTAATAAGCAACTGTGGAAAAATAAATTACAGAAGGTAGAAGTTAGAAATTAAAAGATATAATCCCAGCCTTGTTGCTAACTGATCATATGGTCTTATTCAAATCAACAGAACACCCTTAACTCAAGTCACTTTTCCTGAAACAGGGCTTATAATATTTGCTCTGCCTGGTTCACAGATCTAGTCTAAGGTCATTTGAGATAACACACAGGAAAGCCACAATGACTTATACAAATGTAAGATACTATTCTAGGTACCTAGTTTAATCTTTTTATTGTGCTAAATCTTTACTAATAATGAGTATTATTTTTAAAACAATAAATAATGAAAAATAAATTCAAGAATTATCATGGCCAAGTGATTTTTAAGAATTTAGCTGGCCGGGCTTGGTGGCTCTTGCCTGTAATCCCAGCACTTTGGGAGACCGAGGCAGGCGAATCATGAGGCTAGGAGTTCAAGACCAGCTTGGCCAACATGGTGAAACCCCGTCTCTACTAAAAAAACACAAAAAAATTAGCCAGGTGTGGTGGTACACACCTGTAGTCCCAAGTGCTCAGGAGTCTGAGGCAGAAGAATCACCTGAACCCAGGGGGTGGAGGTTGCAGTGAGCCAAGATTTGTGCCAATGCACTCCAGCCTGGGTGACAGAGTGAGACTGTCTCCCAAAAAAAAAAAAAAAAAAAAATTAAGCTGCTCTTACTAGACTGCTGTCTAAGACAATCCTGCCAAACCATTTTTGGAAATTTCAGCATCATTGGCCTCATGTTCTATGTTTCAGGATCAGATGCAGAAAGGTCAAAGAATGCCAGGCACAGTGGCTCATGCCTCTAATCCTAGCACTTTGTGAGGCCAAGATCACTTGAGGTCAAGAATTTGGGACTAGCCAGAGATCACTTCTCTTAAAAAGAAAAAAATTTTAATTAGCTGGGTGTGATGGTGCACACCTGTAGTCACAGCTACTCTGGAGGCTGAGGCAGAATTTCTTGAGCCTTTATTCAAGGTTACAATGAGCTGTGATTGTACCACTGCACTGCAGCCTGGGCAATGGAGCAAGAATTCAGACTATACAAAGTTAAGTAAGTTTCTTACTATAACACTTCCCAGCATCTTTCGGTTTTTATTGTTGTTGTTGTTGTTTTGGAGACAGAGTTTTGTTCTGTAGCCCGGGCTGGAATGCTGTGCGCAATCTCAGCTCACTGCAACCTCAACCTCCCAGGTTCAAGGGATTCTCCCATCTCAGCCTTCCCAGTAGCTGAGATTACAGGTGCATACTATTGTTTGTATATTTAGTAGAGATGGGGTTTCACCAAATTGGCCAGCCTGGTCTTGAACTCCTGACCTCAAGTGATCCGCCTGCCTTGGCCTCCCAAAGTGCTGGGATCACAGGCATGAGCCATCTTGCCCAGCCTTCCCAGCATCTTTAATATGCTAACATGCATCCTAAACCCTCCAAAAGAGGATAGGTATACAATCTGCAGTAGTATTATAATGAACCTCCCCTAAGCATATAAAATTCAAGTTCATAGATACTTCTCTTCCAATGCTTTTTGGTAAACAACTGCCTGTAACTTTTTCAACAAACATTTGAGGTGAAGGAATCTTAAAAGTTCCATCAAAGAGCAACACCCTAGAATGGTTTCTGACTTGCCTTGTATTTGTTCTGGCAAACAGATACTAGTGAACACAGAAAATATCTGGAAGATCTATAGCCAATAAGAATTTATAAAGTGGTTTGCCACTTTACAGATTTGCCTTTACAAAAGGTCAAGACCCAACTCTAGTTGTCCAAGGCCTTATATATTTCTTTCAAAAAGTGAATGGTGAAAAACAAAAAACAAACTTTTATAGTACCTCTTGGAAAAAAAGCAAAAAAAATAACATCACTCACAGAGTTATGTTGTTCATAGCTAAGCTTGCAGAAGTTGGAGAGAAAGACATATGTTGAACTTGGGGTGTGGTCTTAGAGGGAGCTGACTGCCAAGGGGCCTTGTCAGGCAGGCTGCCCTGCCTGGTCTGTCAAGCAAGATCTGGCCCTCTGCTGCCACTGTCTCAGGGCAATCAAATTCTGGAATCCACTTTATCCTAACAAAGTTCACAGACGACAAATATACAAGATAGAATGGCAATGTATTGATTTACACAGTAAGAAACTGGGTGACAAAAAAATTAGGTTCAGAACATTGCTTGGCAAGCATGGCATCAAAACAAAGAGAACTGTTATTAAATTTAAATGTTTAATGGCATCAGGATGAGGTAGAATCTGAAAAACGCAAGGCTGATGGCTATCTTGCCTAGGGCGCTAAGGCCCACTGGAGAGTGGCTGTAGGAGATGGTGTGCTACTGACCAGGCCTTTCAAGAATGAAGCCAAACTGGGGGGCCAGAGGTGGAACTTCTGAGGAACGTTATTGAACAAAACTTTTGAGGAAATTTTTGCGAAACATAAAGAAGTGCTAGGGAAATCAAAATAATCCCAAATAACGAAATTATCTGCATTAACAGTATGGAAACAGTGGCACATGTCTGTAGCCCCAGCTACTCGGGATGCTGAGACAGGAGGGGCATCTGAGCCCAGGAGTTCAAGGCTATGGTGCACTATGATGCCACCTATGCATAGCCACTACACTCTAGCCTGGGTAACAGAGCGAGACCCAGGCTGAAAAAACAAAAACCCAACAATATAAAAATACATATGAGGTCATTTTAGATAAATCTTTATGAAACTGCGGTCTTCATAAAAGAAGATAAACAGAAGATGAGGTTTCTGCTATCATAAGAAAGTGTAATGAGTTTT